ATGCTGTATCAAAGTGCGCTCCATGACGCCTCCATCTCCAGGAGATGTGACGCCGATGAGTCTCATTGCAGACCAGGATTCACAATGCCCGTCCATGTAGCCCCGCGACGTCTCACCGCCCAACCAGCGATGAATCGGTGAACGAGTGGCCCCAACGTAAAAGTCGTGCCCAGCGCTGCCAACTCTGTCAATCGCATCCATGGCGATGGAGAGCTGATTGTCGGCAGTGGCGAAAATCGCGTCACCCATGATGCAGCCCCAATGTATGGGCACGTTCTGTCGCATTGCCTTGTCGCACTCGGCGCCCCGGGCGCTCTCCAGAGCAGCGAGACGCCCTATCTCTGCAACGCGACGCGCCTCAGCGCGGGACTCTGCCTCTACGCGATCGAGCTCCAAGTCGCGCTCGATCTGGGTGCACTGCGAGTCCAGCGAATCAGCGGGCGACTCTAGAACCAATGAGTACTGGGCCAAGAGCGCCACCAAGGAATCCTGACTTGCATCTGGGGCCCCCGATGGAGGGGCGTCGCCAGCGTCGCCGCGGCTCACCGCGTCAGCTGGCTGGCGATCAGCCCGAGCAGTTTCGCCGGCGGACGGGCGGTGAGCAGGCGGAGTTTCGTGGACGTCGACGTCATCAGCGGGCGCATCCAGCAACGGGCATCCTGCGGCCTTCCCATTCTCCTCGCCAGCAGCCTCGATCACGGCCTCGTCCGCCACCTCCGCCGCCGAACGGCCAGATCGAAGTAGATCAACGCGGGTGGCCATTCCTGCGCCCAGGCCCCCGACCTCAGAAAAACAGCAGCAGCATCCCGCCGCCGAGCCCCCGTCGTCGTCAACCGTGCGGCCGAGCATCCCAGCAGCTAGCCAGCGGCGGCGGCGCCCCTGGCCGGGCGAAACTGCCGAACTCGCCCTCGCCGCGGCAGCGGCGTCGTCCGCCAGGATGGCAGGGCTCCGAACTCGCATTGTGACCTTTGCGTTGCCACCAGGATGGCAAGGCTCCGAACTCGCAGGACGGCAAGGCCCCGAACTCGCAGGATGGCAAGGCCTCGGCCGCCTGTGAGCCTCGGGCGGCGTCCACTCGAACAGCTTTGACAACAACTCATCGCGCCGCCGCCTGTCACGCAAGGACGGCGTGCGGCTCCGTGCAGCCATCCGCGCGCTCACGCCATCAGCATGCAGCATGCAGCTGTGGACAGCGCGCGGGGCCGCCAAGCCACCAATGTTTGAGCCAAGGCGAATGCAAACGAGGCGGCGGTGAAACGCGCGTCTCCCCGCCCATTTCGGCGCGCCCCTCTGCGTCTCACTGCCACGCCCTATCGCCAATTGCCCATGGCCCTGTGCCCTTGTGGCATTCGCCCGCGTAGGCCCATAGCATAGACCAACACTATACATATGCCTAACCTGTGACCTACATCTTATACCATAGGCAATGCCCATGCCCTATAACCTATGACATATAACATATAACCTATAACCTGTACCTTGCCCATGACCAGGGACCTACGACCTATAACTCAAGCCCAAATCCCCTTTGGGCCCATGGCCCATGGGCCCGTAGCCACGAGGACCTCCGCAACACGCCCACTTGCCCAGTCGGCGTGATTACACATGGGCCATGCGGGCATGAGGCATGGAGCCTGCTCGTTGATCGTGTCTCATGTCCTCATGTCGGCACGCTACGATGTGCTCCACGTGCTGAAGTGAATGCAAAGATTGTGGTTACGTGCGGTGCGCCGGGCCCGTTCGTTGATTGAATTGTTGGTATTATTTGCTGTAACTGTTTCGCATCCTACTCGTTAGTTTCATTGATCGTATGTCGTATGTCGTATGTCGTATGTACGGATGTGATGTCTTTATTCGTTGAATTTATCATTCGTTAGTTCTTCCTTGGTTGTAACGATTGTTTTGTGGGCGCTGCATTAGTTGTATGCGTTGCTGTATTGATCCTGCATTAGTTGTATTAGTTACTTGGCAGGCGCTGCATTAGTTGTATTAGTTGCTTGCAGTTGCGGCATAGGGCATAGGGTTGTTGCAGTTGTTTTGCGTTGTGCTCATTAGTTGCATTGGTTGTTTGTGATGTTTCATTCGTTGAATTAAACGTTCTGTAATTCTTCATTAGTTGTAATAATTGTTTTGTGCACGTTCCATTAATTGCATTCGTTGCTGTGCTGGTCCTGCATTAATGATTTAGTTGTTTGGCAGACCCTGCATTAGTTGCATTCGTTGCTGTGCTGGTCCTGCATTTATGGTATTAGTTGTTTGGCAGACCCTGCATTACTTGCACTCGTTGCTTTGATCGGTGTTTCATTTGTTGTATTACTTGTGCTGTAGTTGTATTACTTGTGTTGTATTATATGCTGGTGATGTGCTCCATTAGTTGCATTATTTGCTTTTGTTGTCGGTGGAACCAGTATAAGGTGCGTCTGGGCCACTCAGTCCAAACTGCACGCTGGGAATGGAGTTCTAGCAGCGCCAAGAGCGATTTTGCGAGGATGTCCAAAGCGATTTGGGCTTCGACGGCAGCCGCCCCGGGTCCCGCCCCGACCCCCCTGAGGAGTCATGATGCTCTCTTTTGACCTTACTAGGAACCTATCAGTCTTCGCTGTTAGGTAAATGTTATTCGCGCCCCGCGGGGTCTATTCATCAGCCCCCAGGGGGGACAATTTCTTAATCACAAGCTGACATTGCATACATACATACATACATACATGCATGCATACATACACATACGTACGCACAGTCATACATGCATACGTACACACATACTTGCATATACATGTATACGCATATACGGATGCATATACATATATACATACACATACATAAACATATAACAAATAGAACCATCTGTATATGTATATGTATATGTATATGTAGATGTATATGTATGTATATAGATGTATGACTATATATACATATATACGCTCTAAATCGCGCGCGCGGGGCGGCCCCTGGGGGCCCCGGACCAAAAATCTCCCCGGCCGACTCTCTGCAACGTCCGGGCACGGTCCGCTGCAGGATGCCGGAACTCCCGGGGGTGGTTTTCGGGGCACTCCAAATCGCCCCGGGAGCGGTCAGAGGAACCTCAAGGCAGCTCCAAAACGGCTAAGGAGTCGGAATCACGGCCCACGAGCGATCCAGGGCGCCCAAGATGGCCCCAAGACGGCCCGAAAGGCCACAAAGGAGCCCCAAGAACGCTCCAAGCGGACCCCAAAGAGGGCCAAAAGAAAGCAACTATGCAGTTTTTCCTTGTAGTTATTGTTTTTCGCGTTCTCGCATTTTCGGGCTTTCGACGCTCCAAGGTGGCCCCAGAGGCCCCCAAGACCGCCCCAACACGGCCCGAGAGGCCCCCAGGAGGGTCCCACAATGGTCCAAGAGGGGGAACACGAACTACCAATTCGAGCCTTCTGTCCCAAGAGGCGCCCAGGAGGCTTCAAGAGGGAGCCCAAGAGGCCCCCACGAGGCCCCACGAGGTCACAAGAAGCCCAACAAGAGTCCCCAAGAGGCCCCCAAACGGCTCCCAAGAGGCCACGAACGCGCAGGCAAGTACGGGCCGGCGCAATGGGCGAAGCGATGAAGTGAGGAACGAAAAGGACTTCTCTGGCCACGAGAAAAGCCACCCGACCTGGCTCTCAGGCGCGGCCCATGGGGAGCAGAGCCCCTGCTGAACCCAACATGGCTCCTCTCTCAACGTCTTGACTGCACCCGCGCGCAGCCCACTCCTTCCTCCTCTCATTGTGACGCACAAGGACATGCTAGCACTGTGCGCCCTGCTTGGAAACGCACGTCCGAACCGAACCGAACCGTCCTGACTGCACCGTGGAGACAACCCCACCCGCGCGCCCACTCCCTCCCCCTTCCATGTGACGCAGGAGGGCATGTGAGCGTTTTCTTCTTCGGCGTTTCGACATCGGGCGGAAAGGGGGGGAGGGGGGGGGTCCGGCTCCAGACCTCTGCTCACCGCGACTGCTCGCAGCAGCGCGTCCCATGGAGGAGGCTCCACCTGTCGGGGAAGCAGGCGCCCCCAAACGGCCGAGATCTACCCCACGGGGGGTGGGCGGGCGCGCCGATCGGCAGAACAACGAACGAGATAACGCATACGCCCTGCTTGGAGGCGCACGTCCGATCCGAACATGCTCTTCCACAGCAAGACCATCGAAACCGCGCTTTCCACAGCAAGACCATCGAAACCCAGGAAACCCAGGGCACCCTGCAGGCAAGCAGGGTGCTCCCTGGCATGGTCTCTCCAATGTGCGATGCGCTCTCTGGGCGCGTTGGTCGCCCCTGGGGGGCCGACGCGCACACCCACAATGGAAGCGTTCTTGGGTGCTGCCGGTCTCCCTCCCCCCGTTGTGTTGCTCCCATCGTACTTAAGGACCATCTCCCGGAAATAATATCGAGCACCCGGAAAAGTGTAGACAAACAGTCGAAACAGTGTCAGACGAGTGTCTCCCGGGGCCCGACACGTGAAAACCCTGTAGTTTCGGTACTTTCCTGGTGCTCGAAATTCTTTCTGGTGATCGAGGCTAAAGCAGGTTGGAACATCATAATCCCCCTGCGGCGCGGGCAAGGGTGGCCGCCTCTAGCCTCGCGTTCCCTCGCGTTCACCAGGAGGAAGTGGAGGAGGAGAACGAGGAGGAGGAGGAGGAGGAGGAGGAGGAGGAGGAGGAGGAGGGGAAGGGGTCTCCTCTCGCTCCTCCTCCTCGTCCTCCTCCTCCTCCTCCTCCTCCTCCCACTTCCTCCTCCTCCTCCTCCTCCTCCTCCTCCTCCTCCTCCTCCTCCTCCCCGTCCTCCTCTCCTCCTCCTCCTCGTCCGTCCTCCTCCTCTCCTCGTCCTCGTCCTCGTCCTCGTCCTCGTCCTCGTCCTCGTCCTCGTCCTCGTCCTCGTCCTCGTCCTCGTCCTTGTCCTTGTCCTCGTCCTCCTCCTCGTCCTCCTCCTCCTCCTCCTCCTCCTCCTCCCTGCAGGCTCCGTTCCGTCGCGGCGGCGCGGGCAAGGGTGGCCGCCTCCAGCCTCGCGTTCACCATCGCGTCCAGCCGCGAAGGCCTGGCGTGGCAGCCAGCGCCGCCACCGCTGCCGCCGCCGCCGCCATCGCCGCCGCCGTCGTCGCCGTCGTCGTCGTCGTCGTCGTCGTCGTCGTCGTCAGGCGAAAATCGGAATTCGAAGCTGGCTTTTTATCTTGAGGCTCTGGCGCCATCCAGAGGCTCCTGGAGGCCTGCTTCTGCGGAAATATCCAAAGGTCTCTGGTGATCTCTGGAGGCGCCACGAGGCCTCTATGGGGTCGGCGGAAGCCCTCCAACGACGGGGCCTGCTGGAACAACGACGACAACTGAAGCGTTTCAGAAAAGAACCCCCCTATGGGTATCATCGCAAATCCTCTCTTGCTTGCCTCATTTCCTACCGCTTCTCCCCCTGCTTGCTGGGGAAATACCGCCCGTCATAACCAGGAAAAGTCTTCAGGGCCTCCCCCAACAGTGGAATTCATCTGTTCCCACGCCCGTATTGGCAGACTGGTGCCCCCACCAGTACTGGACAATACTCGCTTTTTCCCGCGGCACCCGCCGCACACCAACGACGATGAGGGAAGATCACGAGCAACGCCTTCGGCGAATACTGTGTCGATCTGTAATAGGATCCTCCTACACACGGGTTCAAAATTCGTCTGTCGCGCGAGGCCGCCCAGGGAGCATTATTCCCTGGGGGCAACATGCCCTCAGCATGATCAAACCCGCCCGACTTTAGAGGAACAAACTTTCCCCGCGGCGACAAGGACGACCCGTACGACTACGATAGATATTGCAACTACGATTGCGGCTACACTCGCGACGACGGTTCCGACTACGATCGCCAAAGCAAGCGCGCTTACTTACAATCACGATTGCTACTATGGGTGCGGTCGCGACTACAACCGCAACCGCGGACTCCAATTGCAGTCCTCATGCAGAAGATGTTCACGCATCTGTTCGCGTGGGTATCCCGCAGTGGTTTACTACCTGGGAAAGCAGTAGCCCCATTATCCCGCCCGTCCAATAGCAGACGGAACATCATCTCCGCCACGCCGTCGGCAACGACGGCGAACTAGGGCAAGTAATCGTACCAATAGAACATGTAGCCGTAGCTGTACTACTAGCAATGATCCCGCCAACTCTCTGGGCGTCGGTGGTTAAGGGAGTTTCCTCTTCCATCCCTCCTCCTTCCCTTTCGGGGGGGGCTTGTCACTGTTCCCTAGTAGTATACACCCCCTCCCCCAGGCGACTGGGAGCCAACCAAGGTCAATGCGGGCCCCCCCCCCCGTCACTTGTAAACAAACAATACACACCACACTCTGCCTCCTGATTCGGAGCATGCGCAGCGAACCCGATGCGGCCTCTCCCCACCATCCCTGTCAACACGCAAAACAAAATACACTTGGCGGCGGCGGCGGTTGCGGCGGCTGCGGCGGCTGCGGCGGCGGCGGCAGCGGTGGCGGCAGCGGCTGCGGCGGCAACGGCTGCGGCGATTCGGCAGCGAGGCGACGGCGGCGGCGGCGGCGGCGGGCGGCGGCGGCGGCGGCGGGCGGCGCGGCGGCGGCGGCGGCGGACAGCGGCGGCGGCGGCGGATGCGCCCCCAGTGGCTGCCCATCCAAAAACGACTGCTGCATATGCTGCGGCTCGGGCCAGGCTCGGGTGCTACGTATGTGTTGGGAGGGCGGGTGGGCGTGAGCGAGACGGCCTGCGGGCGGGGAGGGGGTCTTGCTCCCCCTCCCCCCATGGACCTTGACAAATGGGGTTTCGCGAGCCGTCGGGGCGTCCAAAACGGCTTCGGTGAGGAAGCCGAGATCACTGATGTTACTAAGGTTTTGGCTCAATGTTGACCTCCTGAAGGGGTGCCTTAAGCAAATCTCCCTTCTTGTGTGATCGATCTCCTCCAACATTGGCCCAAGAACCGCCCGCGAGGACCCAAGAGGTCCCACAGATGGTCCCAAGAAGCGCCCAGGAGGCCCCAATAGGTCCCAAGATGGCCCCAAGATGGCCCCACGGGGCCCCCATGAGGCCCCCGAGCGACCCCCACGAGGCCCCACGAGACCCCCAGAGGCGCCCAAGATGCTCCAAGAGGCCTCGGCGAGAATGCCAAATCGCTGATTCTACAAAAAGGTTTTGGCCACATGTTGGCTCCTGGGGGGGGGCACTGATTAAGCGCGCCTGGGGGAGCCCACGACGACCTCCAAGATGGCTCACAATACCCCAAGATGTCTCAAACTGGCTTCCTCGGTGTGCTGCCCACTTCCCTGATCGAAGCAATTCCTCGGGCATCGTTTCTGGATGGGCTGGTGGGGATCCGCGAAGCGTCAACAATACCTATACGACCACCCTTCGGGTGATAAGGAGGTTCGGGGGGGAGGAACCAACGTCTCACTCGATCGGTCTCACTATCGATCTCACTATCGATATCAGTATCGGTCTCGCTCGATCGATCTCCCTCGATCGATCTCACAATCGATCTCACTCGATCTATCTCACAATTGATTTGACTATCGATCTCACAATCGATCTCACAATCGATCTCA